TCACGCAACGCATTCTTGATGTTAAGACGATACGAATCTCTCTTCAGCTTATAGTTGCAAAATATGTAAAACGAATTTATTAGGGCTTATTTTCAATTCCCTATATTATTTCTATGATTAATTGTGTTTACCACGCATCAAAATGGATTTTTCCCTTCATATACCCTTTGATTCCTTTATGATTACATTTTCTCAATTTAGTTTAATTTTTTTAGCCTTGGATTAGTTCAGTTATAATTTTTTTTTTAACATACGCGCGATGGCTTACATTATGTATACAAATAGTGTGTCAAGTGTATCCTGTCTCTATATAGCTCTTCCTGGTTTTACCGTCTATTTTAAACAGATAGAACGTCTTCCAATCACCAAAATTAATTGATTTTTTAAGCCTATTCAGATACAAGTTGTAGCAGATGTTCATGAACAACATACACAAGAGCAGTCGCAAAAACATGTTACATTGCGAAAAGTATTAAGTAATGCTGAACGCCAAAAACGATTTCGTGCTAAAAAAGGAGCATTAAGTAATAGATCAACTCAAAGTAGCTTTTATCAACCACGAACTAGTGCTGAACGTCAAAGATTATACAAAGCATATAAGAAATTACGACGAAAAAATACAGAAACTGAAGAAGAGTTTACACAAACCCAAGAAGAGCAACATCTCGTAAAGAATGTTAAATGTTGCAAATAAAAAAGATATTTTACATTCAAAAGGAAATTAAGTGAAATTTTACCTATTCCTGATCCATTTATAAATTATTAAACTAACAAGAATATTAATATTATAAAATAAAATAATTATTGCCATCATGCGTTAAACAAGTTCAATATTTTATGGTTTCTATTAATTTATGTTTAATTTATTTACGTTATCACTTTTGTCGAGCGTCCTGTGACGCACACCATTTTTTTCTTACTGCTTGTAGATTCCATTGCCACAATATGAACTTAGTCTGAAGATTACAGGCATTATTATTATATTGTTTACTGTTGATCGAACATAGAGGTACAAAGTCCATACTTATTATTAGTTTCGATTATTAGTGAACACTTAATTATCACCAAGAAAACGCCATCTCATTCTGAAAGCTATTTGACCCTCTTATCTTTATTGGAAATACACACTTTTGATTTTTTAACGTGACTTGCGTAGAAATTGAGGATCATAATTTTTTTCCATAATGAAAAAGCAAATTTATAGAATTCACAAATTTTCAGGTACTATTTCCACTAATCCCATTAATATTCAAGCATTACATCATGTTAATCACGTCCTACGCGATAAATAGTTTTATCTGATTCGGCTGCCTATAATATTGAACGGTTGAACGTCGTACATTCACACACGATCGCACAGTTTTATCGCAGTTATTCCCTAGACAATATCGTGGATCGAAATGGTGGTAGCCAAAAAGTACGTCTTGGTGAAACACAGCGAAGGGTTCCCTAAACCTACCGACTTCAAGTTGGTGGAAGAACAATTGCCTCCACTGAAAGAAAATGGTAAGAACAGAGACCAAATTCTCGATAACCCAATGAAAAATTCGTTGTTCTTTCGCTTAGAATATCTGACCGAAGCGGTTTTTTTGAGCGTGGACCCCTACATGAGGGCATACATGCCTAGAGTGAAGCCAAACACCACTATGATTGGTTCCCAGATAGCCAAGTAATATTTCAACTGAGCGCCAATCGCCATCAGTTTAAGTGATTTTTTTCAGAATAGTGGAAAGCAAAAGCCCGAAATTTCCCGTTGGTAGGTATGTGGTTGGTCAGTTTGGCTGGCGATCGCATACGGTGGCGTCTGAAAGTGGACCACAAGAATTAGGACTGCAAACATTCCTCTTACCTGATTTCCAAGAGCTGCCTGTTTCCTTGGGTTTAGGGGTGTTGGGAATGCCAGGGTAAGCATTTAAACTCTATTTAAAAATTAAAAAATATTTAAAAAAGCTTTCACTACTCGACCTGTTTATCGTGGTAAAATGTGGCGAAAATGGTGCCGTTTTCGGTCAACGATTAGCGCAAAAAACACGATTTTCCTGGACGAACGTTTCGGCTATTTGTAATTGGCGGCGACTAACAAAACTTTTCTACTACTGAATGGGTTTTTTGCAGGAATACTGCGTATTTTGGACTTTTGGAACTCTGTCAACCGAAAGCAGGGGAAACTGTGGTGATCTCAGGAGCCGCGGGAGCTGTGGGAAGCCTTGTAGGACAAATCGCCAAAATCAAAGGTCTTAGTCTGAATTAGAGCCAACTTCTTTTTCATCGCAAAAATCTATTTAGGCTGCACAGCGATTGGTATAGCGGGATCCGACGAGAAGGGAAAATGGCTCATCAACGAGCTGGGATTCGATCACTTTATAAATTACAAAACCCAAAACGTTGAAGAGGAATTGAAGAAAGCCGCTCCCAAAGGAGTAGACTGTTACTTCGATAATGTAACCAACTTAATCGACTTTAATCTTTGAATTACTAATCTTTTTTTGAAGGTGGGAGGAGAAATTAGCACGACAGTAATCAATCAAATGAACCAATTTGGTCGAGTGGCGGTTTGCGGATCAATATCCGCTTACAATGCAACAGGCCCAATAAAAGGTACTCACATAAAGCGGAAGAGCAATGAAATCACTCCAAAGTGTTAATGTTTTCAGTGTCCACCCCCAATGCCAGCATTGTCCTTCAGCAACTGAAATTGGAAGGATTTATCGTTTCCAGATGGAACAACCGATGGATGGAAGGAATTCATCAAAATCTGCAATGGATCAAACAGGGAAAGCTAAAGTACCGGGAGACGGTGACCGAAGGCTTCGAGAATATGTTTAAGGCTTTTACTGAAATGTTACAAGGTGGTAATGTGGGCAAAGCCATTGTAAAAGTGTGAGCTAATAAAGTATTAAATTTGCTTTGAGTGTTTCTTATACTGATTTTAGTTGATGTGGACTGAATGATGATGATAGAGCGACTATTTGAAAAACACGTTAAAATTGTATTTTATAGCGCATTCGCCATTTCGTTCGGTTTGAGCTTAGCTTTCCATAAGCACGGTTTGGGTTCAGACTAGGGCTCGGAATCAAACTCGAATAATTCGAATATTCGAAAAGCGAATAATTATGTGTAGTCATAACTCGAATATTCAAATACTCAAATACTCGAATAATCGAATACTCGAATACACCAACATTATCCCAGATAGCACACAAATATTACAGTAATATTTTTTTGCAATATTTAATATAGGTTGAAGCGACAGATTCTTGAATATTATAACAATATTTCTTATAATTATTTCTTTGACATTTAAATCAGATATTTAAGAAATATTATTTAAAAATATTTATTTGACATTTAAATCAAATATTTATTGTTTGTATATGTATTTATTGTATGTTTTTGTTACATGCTAATTAAATATTAGAAACAAATATTTTCTAAATAACATTTAACTAATATTTAAGAAATATTTCTTTTTATTTTGAAATATTTACCGTTAATTG